AAGAAGAAATAAAGAGAAAAAATATACTATATTATGTGCAGAAAGTTTCAGTTTCTTAAAGATGTGATCTCTCTCTTTATGCATGTAGTTATTGAAAGACCATTAAGAGTTGGATGTGGTGACAAAAGCTTGTCATCCCAGCTACTCTGGAGCCTGAGGTGGGAGGATTGTGAGTTCAAAGGCAGCCTGGGCAATTTTGCAAGACTCTGGAAAAAGAGTCAGGAGGGGTGAGGACTAATCAATAAAAAGGTGAAAGAGTGTGTTAAGTCAGTGTGGGAGAAGATGCTTGCACGGATAACAAAGGATTTAAAATCTGTAAGATGTCCTCCAAATCAGTCTGAAGGTAACAAAACAATCCAGCAGAAAATTTGGCCAAAGATTAAAAATAGGCAGTTCACAATTTAAACATATGCAAAAATGCCCAACCTCATTAATACAGAAGTGAAAAAGAAAATTAAAAATGCGATAATATTTCATATTTATCAGACTGACAAAATCAAGTGTGATAGTGGGAAGTATTGGCAAGAACGTAAAACAATAGGCACATGGCTGATGTCAAAACAAATTGGATCAGTCACTTTAGAAAATCAATTTGTTAATACCTAGTGTGGTTGAAGATGCTCACATCTTACAACTTAGTAATTTTACTCTTAGCTATCTTACAGAGARACTTTACACATGTGTATAATAAATGTATGAAGAATTGTTCAAGCTGGGCACAGTGGCACATGCCTGTAATCCCAGCATCTCTGGAGTTCAAAGCCAACCTCAGCAATGATGAGGTGCTAAGCAACTGAGTGAGACCCTGTCTCTAAATAAAATACAAAATAGGGCTGGGGATGTGGCTTAGTGGTTGAATGGCCCTGTGTTCAATTCCTGGTACCCATGCCCCCCAAAAAAGAATTGTTCAAATTTTTTGTACTATTGCACTATTTGCAATAGTAAAAAAAAAAAATATGAACAGGCTAAATTTCACTCATCAAGTATCTGGATAAATTAAGTGTAGTATTTTCACAAGTGGAATCGCTAAATAGGGTGAAACAGTAAACTCGGTTTGCATACATAAACATGGATGAATCTCACAAACATGATTTTACATATTATTTATTGACAGATAATGATTGCACCTTTTCAGGGGATACAGTGTGATGTTTTGGGACACTTAAACATTGTGTATCGATCAACTCAGGATACTGAGGTTATTCATCATCTCAAACATTTTATCATTTCTTTGTGATGAGAATATTCCAGATCCTCTCCTCCACCTGTTTTGTGAACGCTGATCACTCTTCAGTGTCATAGAACACCGTAAGGTATTCCTCCTCTCTGGTTGTGACCTGGTAACCAAGCTCCCCGTGCTCTTCCTCCTCCCCTCCCTGGCCTCTGAGATCCACTGTTCTGCTCTCAACTTCCATGAGCTCAGCTTTTTAGATTCCATGCATGTGAGAAATCATGCAGTATTTGTATTTCTGTATCTGGCTAACATTTGGAACCCCAGGTTTGTCCATGTTGCCACATGTGACACAGAATTTAATCCTTTGTGTGTATGATATTGGAGATTGAACTCAGGACCTCGCTCATGCTAGACAAGTGCTCTACCACTGTATCCCCAGCCCTTTTGAAAAATTTATTTGGAGACAGTGTCTCACTAAGTTGCCTAGGCTGGCCTCAACTTGAGATCTTCCTGCCTCAGGGATTGAATCCTTTTAAATGGCTGAATAGTATTATGTTTTGTATAGATAAATTTTCTTTATCCACTTGCCTATCAACTGAAACCTTGGTTGATTTCATTTTTGGTCTATTGTGAATAGCACTATGATAAACGTAGGAGTGCAGGTGACTCCTTGATATATTGGTTTTGTGTCCTTTGTATATAGACCCATAGCAGTATTGCTGGGTTGTATGGTAGTGTTCTCTCTCTCTCTCTCTCTMTCTATCTCTCAATTTTAAATATGTAAAAAATTTGTTGATGGGCCTTTACATTATTTATTAATTTATTTATATGTGGTGCTGAGAATTGAACCCAGTGCCTCACACCTACTAGGCAAGTGCTCTACTACTGAGCCAAAGTGGCAGCTCTCTCTCTCTCTCTCTCTCTCTCTCTCTCTCTCTCTCTCTCTCTCTCAAATGAGGATTAAACCTAGGAGTGTTCTACCACTGAGCTACACCCCTGGTTCTTTTTATTTTGAATCAGGGTCTCTCTAAATTGCTGAGGCTGGTCTTGAACTTTTGATCTTCCTGCCTCAGCCTCCTGAATGGTGATTCCATTTTTAAGTTTTTGAGGAAACTCCACACTGTTTTTTGTATTGGCTGTACTGATTTACACCCCCCAACAGTATGTAAGAGCTCTATTTTCTCCACATCCTCATCAACATTTGTCATTTTTTTTTGTCTTTTTGATTTTAGTCATTGTAACTGAGGTGAGATGATATTTCAGTGTGGCATTTTTGTTAGTGTGCTTTTTTTTTCTATACCCAGAATTGCTTTGCAACTCATCTACACCCCAGCCTTTTTTGTGTATGTATTAGGAATTGGACCCAGGAGTGCATAACCACTGAGCCACATCCCCAACCCTTTTAAAAAATATTTTATTTAGAGACAAGGTCTCTCTAAGTTGCTTAGGACCTTATTAAGTTGCTGAGACTGGCCTCAAACTTTCGATCCTCTTACCTCAGGTCCCTAGTCACTGGGATGGCAGGCATACATCACTGGGACCAGCTCAAAGTGTTTGGGTTTGTGTTTTCTTGATAATTAGTAATATTGAGCATTTTTTTTCATATACTTGTTGGTCATTTTTATCTTCTTTTGGGAAATGTCTATTCAGATCATTGGCCAACTTTCAAATTGGATTATTTGTTTTTTTTTCTGTTGAGTTTTTGAGTTCATGAGATATTCTGGATATTAATTCTTTGTCAGATGAGTACTTTTACGCATTTCCCCCCATTCTGTGGGTTGTCCTGTTGCTATTGATTGTCGCCTTTGCTAAGCAGAAGCTTTTAGTTTGTTGTGACCCCACTTGCCTACTTTGTCTTTTGTTGCCTAGGCTTTTACATTTTTATCGAAAATATCCTTGCCTACACCAATGTCATAAAGCATTTTCCCTGTTTCCTTCTAGTAGACAAACGGAATTTAAATGAAAAGAGCAAATTGTCAACGATATGCTAGTAATATAGGCTATTTATGTAATGCCTAAAAAATGCAAAAAAATAACAGGTCTTTTTAGGGATATCTATGTGACAAAAATATAAATACATGAGCATGACAGGCTTCACATTTTCAATTGGGTTACTTTTGYGGAAAGAAATTTGATTAATGAAAGAGCCACAAGAGACTTCCTGTAATAGTTTATTTTTTAAGCTGAGAGGTAAGTATATGGTTGTTTGTTATATTAGTCTCTGTGTCTTTTTGTGTATCTTAAATGTTACATAGTAGTTTCAAAAACTAAAAAGTATATGTAAATGGTTGTCTTGTGGAGACATTTGAGGACAAATAGAAACACCAGCTGCTCTAATGTTATTCAAATGGAGAGGTGTGAACTGAGGTACAATTTCCAGTGACCACCTATGACTTATCCTTAAAAGATCACACATCTCAAAAATCTTTCCCTCCAGAAGCCCTCTCTGTGCCCTTCACCTGGCTGCTTACCAGTCACTCCCTCTGAAACCTAGGAGTCTTGCTGGCCACCTGTCTTTTACGTGCATCCTGGAGTTCAGTATCAAGTCCTATCCTCACTGTCCACACAGGCTATCTGGAACATGTCCTCTTCTCTCCCATACCACCACTGTCCCCTCAACATATCTGGTTCACCCTGGATGACTGCTGCAATGACTAACTAGGCTACTCACCAATGCCTCCCTGCCCCACCTCTAGTTGCTGTTTCTCTTATACTGAGCAGCAGCCCAGATTTCTTAAAAATGAGCAACAGTTAAAGAAAATGTGGTATATGTACACAATGGAATATTACTTAGCCATAAAAATAATGGCTTTATGAACTTTGCTGGCAAATGGATGGTTCTGGAGATGATTATACTAAGTGAAAGAAGCCAATCCCCCCAAACCAAAGGCCGAATGTTCTCTCTGATATGCTGATGCTAACAAACAACAAGCAGGAGAGGGGAAGAGTAGAAATTCATTGGATTAGACAAACGGGAATGAAGGGAAGCGAGGGGAGATGGAATAGGAAAGATAGTAGAATTAATCAAACATAACTTTCCTGTGTTCATCTATGAATACACCACCAGTGAAACTCCACATCGCGTACAACCACAAGAATGGAATAAGTTATCCCAATCAGAATAAGTTATACTCCATGTATATGTAAAATGTCAAAATACACTCTACTGTCATGTACATCTAAAAAGAGCAAATAAAAAAAATAAATCTTAGGGCCTGGGGATATAGCTCAGTTGGTAGAGTGCTTGCCTYGCATGCACGAGGCCCTGGGTTCAATCCCCAGCACCACACACACACACACAAGCTATATAAAAAAATAAATCTCAAAAAAAATGAGCATCAGTGGGGCTAGGGACGTAGCTCAGGGGTAGAGTGCCTGACTAGCAGGTGCAAGGCCCTGCGTTCAACCCCCAGCACTACCAAGAAAAAAGAAAGAAAGAAATGTCTATCAGTTCTCATCGCTCCCTTGCTCAAAATCCTTCAAGGCTGAGATGACAGTGGGGTTGGTCCTCGCCTGGGCTCCAGGGCCCAGTGGTCTGGCCTCCAACTGCTTCCCTGGCCCGTTCTCCTCTCTCACTGACTGGGGCCCGTACAGTCAKTCATTATGCCCAAGCACCTCGTTTCAAACCTGGGGCTTGGAGCACAGGAGGGAAGACACCAAAGGGGAGGGAGTCGGGCACACTCGGAGCGCTCTGTGTGCCAGGGACTCTGCCTGGGTTTCTCCAGCATGGGGGTGACCCGGATTGGGTCGCCCAGGCAGGGAGTGGGCCGGGACTGTGGGGCTGTGCTTTTTGGTTGGATCTCTTCAACCCTTGCCACCCCTGCAGATCTCAGAGATCATCTTTGTGTCCATCTGCACCTCCGAGTTCGCCATGAAGGTCTACGTGGACCCCATCGACTACTGGAAGGATGGCTACAACATGCTGGATGTGTTCATCCTCATCATCATCTTCATTCCCTACCTGCTCCACAAGATCAAGGGCAAACACTACCCCTACCACAACATCGCCGAGGGCATACAGTCCCTGCGCATCCTCAAGCTCATCCCCTATAGCCGAGGCATCAGGGTGAGTGCCCTGGGAGTGCCAGGGTGCTGGGAGGTCAGGCTGCAGGCCACACTGCCACTAGCCCCATAAGAAAAGGTAATTTGACTGCTGTCTTCCAGTTCATGTGCCCTTCTGTGTGGTGGGGTGACCTGTACTGGAATTATTATCTTGATCTTAAGATTCGCTGGACTTGGTGGCACATGCCTAAAATCCCAGAGACCCAGAAGCCTGAGACAGGAGGATGGCAAGTTCTAGGCCAACCTCAGCAATTTAGCAAGACCCTGTCTCAAAATAAAAAATAAAAAGGGCTGAGGATGTGGCTCAATGGTAATCGCTCCTGGGTTCAATCCCAGTGGGAGGGTTAGGAGGAATACTTGGTCGCAATCTTAAGATGAACAATGGCTGGAAAGATTTTATTAGCTCCATTTTACAGATGAATAAATTGAGTCCTAGGGTCACTCAGCAGCTAAATGTCAGGGCTGAGGTTTGAAAGGAGTGTCTGAAGCAGATGCCATCTGAACTTCTGTCCCATGCTGCAGAGTGACTAGCTTTTGTTCTTTTTTCCTGTTTTGTGGTGCTGGGGATGGAACCCAGGGTCTTGCACTCTACCAATGAGCTCCATCCCCAGCCACTGACTGACTTTCTTATGGGACAGATGTTTTGAACTACATGCCTAGGAATCTCCAGCTCTTCTGGTGACCTGGGCCAGTGGCTGCTTTACCCAGACAGCCAAAGGACTACTGCTCCTCTCAGTGGGAAGCCTCCTCACTTTGTTGAGCAGCCCAGCAAGTGCTGCTTCCCCCAAGAAGTCTTCCTGGGTTGCCCCAGTCATGGGGTGCTCGGCCTTGCCTGAGCTCTGAAGCTTTCAGAACAAGCCTGGGAGCTGACCCCTTGTCCTCACCCGGGCTGGCAGGCATGCGTCCTGGATACACCGTGTTTGTCCTGGCAGCTGTTCTCCAGGAAGGGGTTGGCCTGGGCCTATTTGTCCAGTCAGGGTGTGTCACCTATCCTGCTGTGATAGCCGCCAGCCCTGGTCCTCGGGGGGAGAAGGGACAGGGCCTGGGAGCAAGCCCCCCCCCAGTCCCTCATCTCTTGCCCTCATGTGGTCACATGCCTGTGTGTCCAGCCCTCTCTCCGCCCCTTTTCCTCTCCAGTCTTACTTCCTCGTCCCTCACTAAGCCCTGACTTCTTCCCCTCCCTCCAGAGCGCAGGGCCTCTCGAGGTTGCCAGATGCGGTGGCCATTTCCCTGGGCGTCCTGGTCACTGCTTCTCTTTCTCATCCTGACCTCTCGTGGCGTTCTTTCCTCAGGACCGTGCCCTGCCTTCTCTTTCCCTCCGCCCTCTGCATATTCTCTCTGGAGGATCTTTTCTGCTTTCTAGGACTCTCCACCTGCCTGTGTCTGTGACCTTCAGACCCAGTCACCTCCTGAACAGCTCATGCGCTCCTCAAGAGCGTGCCTAACTGCAGGTTCATCACCTGCCCCCACCCCTGCCCAGGTCCCCAAACCCTGGCTCCTCCTCCACTATTTTATCTTTTGGTGGAGAGTGTCCCCCACTCCTATTCAGTAGGCAAGTCATAAATCTGAGTGTCAACTTGGCTCTTCTCTCTCAAAGTCTTGTCATGCAGCCCCCTAAATAGTTGCTGACTTGTCCACGTCTTTTCATCCCTGCCACCGACTTGTCCACGTCTTTTCATCCCTGCCACCGTCACCCTCCACCTGGATTCCCGGGTGTCCCGGGCAGAAATGCCTCAGCAGCAGGCATGAATCTTCTAAAGGCACTTCAAGTCATGACACCTTTTGCTTCAAATCTCATCTTCATGGGTCAGGGACAGCCCTGGGCTGTGACCTAGAAGTGGGGGAGGGAAGTGTCTGAGGTGCTGGGTATTGGAGTTGGAGTCAGGTAGGGCTGAGGGTAAGACAGGTGGATAGAAAAGGAGACTGGAGGTCCAAGGGGTCAGACAGGTGGGGGTGCCTCAGAGTGAGAGAGATCAGAGGGAGGAGTAGCTCAGCTTTTCCTGGGGCCTGGAAAAGCTTCAAGAATCACTAACGAGGAGGACGTTCAGGGAGGAAGTGGTCTAGATCATGTGTCATCTGCAAAGATCCCCCAGGCTAGCCTCAATGGGGTGGGGAAGGAGGTGGTGAGCCTGGAGGAGAGATTTCAAGTCACGAGGAGGAGTGGGAAGCCAGAAGTTTGGCCATGCCCAGAAATAGGGACTTTGCCCATGGAGTCAGGGGCTCCAGAGACGAGGCAGAGGATGGCCCCCTGAATCCCAGGTCAGTGAGGGATAGGCAGCTCCCTGGAGAGGGCTGCTAGGGTAATCTCAGGTAAGAGGGGATGCTTAGGTGAAGCCGGGAGAGAAGGCACCGTACGACATGGATGCCAAACCCCTGAGGGAGTCACGTGAGGGAGAGGTGGGTGGCGGGCTGAGGGACCACGCAGGGAGAAGGACTGATGGCAGAAGGGCCTTCATCTTGGAAGGAAGTTGTTGTGACCCAGCTGGGCACCTTGTAAGGCCAGGGGCTCTAGCTACACTGGTCTTGGCTGTGTGGGGGGAGCTGGTCAGCAGGCAAAGACCTGAAGGTGCCCAAGGTTGAGAGCCTGCCAGGGGCAGCACCTCCTTCCAGCCCAGGGAGACTCCCTAGTGGCCCAGGGCCATATCCTGGAGCAAGCCAGGCTTTTCTTGTGAATCCAGGCCCCTGCTCAGTCTTTGGTCCTCGTAGACATTCTCAGAGACCCGTGGGCACGCACACACCACGTGTACACAAATGTCTATCCCAGGTTTGGCCTTAGAGTTTTCTGTCAGTCACCAGAGGTATGCATCCCAAGAGTGGTGCCTTGGAGACTGATGTCCTGGCTGTGGCTCTACTGTAGCCTCTGAAATGTCTTGGGACCTGGGTTCACAGGGGAACAGAGGTGACCCTGGATTGCATGGCTTTGTGTGCTGGTCTGGCCTGCTGGCCAAGGGAGCTGGAGCTGCTGGAGGTGGGGACTTGCCCCTCCATGCTAATGTGTGTGAATGAAAGTCTAAAGGAGCCCCGAACAGAGCTGACACTCTGGTACATCCTCGGCTCTCCACCCCTGATTCATTAAAATGACACTCTGCCATCCACCTAATGGCAATAAACTTGCTCCTCGAGGAAATCGTTCCTTGTTGTTTTGTACGTAGAGAATACTGTTAGCTGGGTCCCTTGCTCCTGGTCGTCTGCATTTTATTTGGACAACTTTCCCTGCTGGCTGTGAGCCCAGCTTCGTCTTCCTCTTCCCCACCTCTCTAGGGTCCCACCATTTCCCCCTTATCCCAGGGGCTGCCCAGGAAGACTCTCTCAGAACCCTGACCTGGCCACCTGCCCTGGCCACCACCCCCAAAAGTCCCAGGCATAAGGGAATAGCTGTGGCTGACCCAGGACCCAGGAGAACGGAACTGGATGCTGGGTATTGCTTCTCCAAAGAATGTGGAAATTTAAAACCAGACATCTACTCGAGGCCAGGCTACAGACCTCGAAAGCCCAGAACTTCCTCAGCGAAGGATCTCCTGACCTGTGGGGACCTGGGTGGCCATCCTCTGGGACTGGAATTCTGCCTCTTTCTTTTCTTCATTCCTCCCTCCCTTCCTCCCTTCCTTCCTTCCTTTTTTTTTTTAAGGTACCAAGGATTGAACCCAGGGGTGCTCAACTACTGAGCCACATCCCCAGCCCTTTTTTATGTTTTATTAAGAGACAGGGTCTCTCTAAGTTGCTCACGGCTTCACTAAGTTACTAAGGCTGGCTTTGAACTCATGATCCTCCTGCCCCAGCCTACCATATCGCTGTGATTACAGAGGTGTGTCACTGCACTTGGCAATTTCTGTCCCTTTCTGGATCTGTTCATTAAAGAGGCTGCCTGGATTGTGCCTCAACCAGGTAGTGGGGGTCCCACTGGAGAGTGTGACCTTATTACAACTACTTTTCTCAAGGCTGCTTGGCTGTGTCCTCAGGTGGGCTGTCCTGGAGGTGGGACAGCCAGCCAGACCTCTCCCCAGCCCTCTGCACATGCCTCAGGTTCTGCCACTCGGGCGCCCCCTGCCCACCTGTGCAGACCGAATTTGCAGGCCATTGCTGGGTTTCCTGTTTCCTGTTAGCACTTACTGGTTTACTTTTCCAGTCCTTGGGAAGAAGTTCTGCCTCTGTCTAGCAGGGAGAGAGATAGTGTTTTGTTTTTTTTTTTTCCTTTAATAGTCAGCTCTTTTGGAATGAATCTGAAAACACCAATTTTCTCCCCCAGGGGGATGAAGAATGAACGGGCATGTGTTCATTCCTGCCAAACCATCCTGCATGTGGGGCAGCCTGGGGCTCTGGGGATATCTCTGCCTCCTGGAGTACCCCAACTGTCCAGACTTCACTGTCTTGTGTCCAGCTACAAGTACTCCCTTTCCTAGTGCTAATCGGCCTCTGTGCTCAGGGCTGCTGGCGGGTGGAGGTCATGACATGAGGCAAAGGGTTTTGGAATTGGTCCCAGCTCTGCTGTTATACTGGAGTGTGACCCTGGTCAAGAGAGTTTGCTCCTCTCAGTCTCTGACCCCTCATCCTGGAAAACTGATAATATCTATCTACCTTGAAATTATGTCTGTGAAACCATTTGAGGTAGGTGAACACATGTGGAGCACTTATTGCATGCAATACTCCAGAGAATAGAGAACGAATGATGGGGAGTCACACGATGTGCTGGGGAAGCCAGATCCCACTTCACAGAGGGAGGCCTGGGGACCTGCCTTCCAAGGCAGGGTCCAGAAAGAATGGGAGCCACATTCCTCTGGGCCCTCTCTATTCTAACCTGCAGGTGGTTCCCCTCCTCCTGGGCCTGGGGCAAGAGCACCCAGGGCTGGCCCTCAGCTGAGAATCAGGAGCAGGATACCCTAGGATGTCCTCAGAGCCAGATGGGGAGTGGTTCGTGGTGACCTGAAATCCATGACCTGGGATCCTGTGTACCCTCTGCCCCTAGGTGACTGATAAGGGATGTTCGATTCTGGCAAATCAGTTAGATGGATGCAGCCCTCGATCTGAGCACATTTCTGATTCACTTCATTCATTCGACCACTAATTGTTCATCATGCTGTGTGCCAGGCATGGCACCAGATGCTGGGACAGTTGTGACCTGGGGCAGACTGGATCTCTGTCCTCTGAGATGCCCCGCCTGGCTCCCTGGCCTAGCTGCGTGTCCCTGCCTTGCAGACGCTCATCACTGCCGTGGGGCAGACTGTCTACACCGTGGCCTCTGTGCTCACCCTCCTCTTTGTCCTGATGTACATCTTTGCTATCTTGGGCTTCTGCTTGTTTGGAATTGTAGAGAACGGTGACCTGAATAACTGGGGGAGCCTGGCGTTGTCTTTCTTCACCCTCTTCAGCTTGGCCACGGTACTGTGGGAACAGTGGAGAGGGTGGGGGCCTTATGGGACTGCCAGGTGGTGTGAGCAGGTGGCTGTGAGGGTCTAACGTGGGCTTTCCCCATATTCGGGTACTTAGTTGAGCCTGGGGAAGGTGGAGGCTGGCCTTCCAGCATGAGTCAGAGGCCAGGGATTCATCTCCGTCTCTGATCTTGTGACTCCGTGTAGCATTCCCATATGTTCCAACAAGGCCGTCAAACTTGTCAGAGTTCTCAAATGATACTTCGTTTGGATTAAGTTTAAGTTATAAATGAAACCCATGTTACATAGCCTTTTTGGAAACAGGCTGTTACAAACCCACCCAAGAATCAGGATGCAAGGCCCAAGTCCAGAATTCCAGACTCTGTTGAACTCTTTCAAAGAGTGGAGTCTTTTCAAAGGTGGGACTAGCAAGAGGCAATGTCCTCCCAAGGAAAATGACAGACTTTGAGGGGACAGACCCCAGGGCATGCTGGTCTCCATCCAGAGGTGCCCTGCGTTTCCAGGCCACCATGTAGAGGGGCTGAAAGGCTGATGTGGGGCAGAGGCAGTTTCCTCCTCAGTGAGTCAGGGGCTTCCCTGGCACAGGTGAGATGGGGGCCTGCTCCACTGGGCCCTGGTACTCAGCAATCCCTGCCCTGCTGGACAGGTGGATGGCTGGACAAACCTCCAGGAACAGTTGGACATGCGGAATTTTACTCTGAGCCGGGTGTTCACCATTGCCTTCATTTTGCTTGCCTCCTTCATCTTTCTCAACATGTTCGTGGGGGTGATGATCATGCACACGGAGGTGAGGCTGTGCTTGGGGGTGGGGGATGGGAATGCCAGGTGTGACAGGCAGAGGTGTGGGCCGGGCCTCTGGGGAGAACGCAGAATGGTGTCTCTCTCTGAAACAGAGTGATGGTGGCCTGGTGGGCCCTTCCTGGGCCTCACCACCTCTTGGCCATGAGCTTGTGCGTTTGCCTAGCCAACAGGAGGGTTGGCAGCTTGAGTTGGGGGCTGGCTCTGTTGGGGTGGATCTTTGTGCTGAGGGCCTGAGCCACAGGCAAGGAGAGGCAAGGGGCGAGACCAGGTCGCGGGCAGTGTGCAGCGAGAGGCTGCTCCTGACCTCTACCCTTTGACTCACTAGGACTCCATCAAAAAGTTTGAGCGGGAACTGAAGCTGGAGAGGCAAGTCACCCTGATGGAGGAGAAGCAGGTGATTCTGAAACGGCAGCAGGAGGAAGTGGACAGGCTGATGAAGACACAGGTAGGCAGTGCCCCAGGCGGGGCAGCAGACAGAGAGAGGGACAGTCAGGGCTGAAGTACTGGCTGGGAAGAGGGCCCTGATGTGGAGAGGGCAGGTGGCCTCAGGCTTTGTGGCCTTAGGTGAGGCAGGTGCTTCTCCCGTATCTCCCATCGCCAAGCTTTCCTTCCTCGGTCTCTTTGTTTCTCTGACCCCCTTGGAGAGTCCAGGGCTGTAATGTTGGCGTCTCCTTTGTGGCAGAACTGCCCTGTGGGACCTTTTGGGTCATTCAGCCTGTGCTTACTGGGTGCTAGGCAGCCCAGTCCCAGGTCACAGGATGGATGAGGATGAAGAGGCTCTGACTGGGTGTCACTCCATCTCGGTTTCCCCACACTTCGAAAGCCAGAGGAGGAATTAACACAGCAGGCTGGAGGTTTTGGGTCAAGCACGATAAACCTATGAGGGCTGGTGCTGCTTCTTTTTTCTGCCTAAGCTTTGGGCGCCCCTGCTGGGTCCCCTCATCTTTGGTCTGACCTTCCTCAGCCTTTTCTCTGAGACRACATCTGCCTGTCTAGGCTGTGTCTGGGGTTTTTCCAGGACTGGAGGACACACTTAGCCACTCTGAGACTCTCATGGGTTCCTTTGTGTGCCACCTGCCCCACATTGATGATGGTGGCTCATGAGGTTACCTCACCCATGAAGGTTCAGGCTCATCCTGGAGCTGGGAACAGACACCTGCCAGGGGCCCATCATGGAGGGTTCCCAGATCTCCTTGCAGCGTGACTGCCACTTTTCTGTCATTACTCACTCATTTTGCTTCCTTCTCTAGAGCAATGTTGGCAAGAGTTTCAGTGAGTTGGTGGAGGACTTCAAGAAGACTCTGCGGCACACTGACCCCATGGTCTTGGATGATTTTGGCACTAGCCTACCCTTCATTGATGTCTACTTATCCACTCTGGACAACCAGGACAATACTGTCAACAAGTCAGTCCCAGCCCCAGCCTTTCCTTTCCCCCGGGCTTCCTCAGAGTGGGGGCTGTGTTGAGGGCCATGGGAGGGTGGAGCATCCGTGACCCATGTGTAGGGCAAGCCGGTGGGTTAGAGCCTTTCTGAGAGTGCAAGAGTCCATGAATATGTAGTTTGGGCTGCAAGTGGACAGGCCTGTGGCTGGGGAACTCTGCTGTCCCTCCCCAGTCCTCTCTCTCTCTCTCTCTTTTTTTTTTTTTTTTTTTGGGTACTAGGGGATTGAACTCAGGAGCACTCGACCACTGGGCCACATCCCAGCCCTATTTTGTATTTTATTTAGAGTCAGGGTCTCACTGAGTTAGTTGCTCAGCACCTCGACTTTGCTGAGGCTGCCTTTGAACTCGTGATCCTCCTGCCTCAGCCTCCCGAGCTACTGGGATTATAGGCGTGCGCCACCGCGTCCAGCCTCCTTAATCCTTTTTGACTTATATAGAGATTCTGGCTCCTTCATCTCTCCAGGGCCTCCTTTCGAACCCCTTTTCAGGGGGCAGAGAAAGCATACTGGGTGGCAAGTCAGGGAGTGAGGAGGCTTTTGGCCTGGTTCTGCCACTACCTTCCTGTGTGACCTTGGGCAGGTCTCTGTCCCTTTCCCACCTGTCCCAAAGGAGCTACTGGTCTGATTAGATAGTAAAAATGTATGTGTGGGGCTGGGGTTGTGGCTCAGAGGTAGAGTGTGTACCTTGCATGTGTGAGGCACTGGGTTCGATCCTCAGCACCACATAAAAATAAATAAAGGTATTGTGTCCATCTACAACTAAAATTATATTTTTAAAAAAATGTATGTGAAACTCTGAGCTAGGCCTGGACAGGGCTTGTAAGCCTAGCTGGAGTTATGACTGGCCATAGCTGAGTAGGAAGGATATAAAATCCTGGCTGTGGGCACTGGGGAGCCTCAGTGGGATCTTGAGTAAGGATAGACATAATTAGCTTGGTTTCTCATTGAAAATCCTCTAGAGGGCTTCTGAGATTGGACAAAACTAAAAGGAAGGACCAGGGAATGTCCACTTGGGGCTCAAAAGTGGTTCAGGCACTGTCTGGGCACCACTGTACAGTTCCTGCTCTTCACGCTCTCGGCTCAACGTGTGAGGTGAAATCAATCACTCCAGGGGGCCAGAGGCAGAGTAGTGGACCTAGGATGCCAACCACCTGATGTGGCTCTCTGAAGTCCTTGCTCTTCACTGACCCCACTGATCTGCCAGAAGTGCTGAATGCACCCGAGCCAGCATTGGTGGGTGTGGTCTGGGCGGCAGGGAGCCCACCCTGTCCTCAGGTCCCCTCCCCTCCGGTGGCATCTTTCAGGCTTCAGGAGCTGTACTACGAGATCGTCAACGTGCTGTGCCTGATGCTCGAGGACTTGCCCAAGGAGAAGTCCCAGGCCTTGCAACGGCTGGAGGAGAAGTAGCTGGTGCCCTGGGGGTCTTGCCGACCGGGAGGGACCTCATTAAACATGGCTTTCGGAGCTGGACTCCAACTGCTCTAATGTTTCCCTGCCTTTGTGGGTTGGGCTGGAGAGGTGCTCCTGAAGTCTGATTCCCAGGCCCCATGACACAGAGCACCTACGGAGAGGAAGACTCACTCTGGCTAGAGGCCACATCTAAGCCCACAGTGGCTCTAGTCTCCCTGGACCCAGCAGCAAGGATCCCCTGGGCTCCTGGAGGGAGCAGACTAAGGAGGGTCCCCAGCAGACCCATAAAGCATGTGGCCCTGCTGATGTTGGATCCTCTGAGGGCTGGTCTATGTGGGACCCCTTGCCTGGCATGGGTGCCACTCTGTGGACCTGCTATTTTGGAGACCTGTCTTTGGAAGTCTGCTCTGATTTGCCCTTTGGCTCCTTGCAAGGGGCACCACAGTCAGTGGCTCGGTTCTGCTGTGTGGGCACGGGAGGCAGCCAGGGAGCTCAGCATGGGGAGCAGCCCACTGGCAAGGGCAGCACCACATACCATGGCCCAGAGCAATGGCAGTAGCAGGTACTTTGGACTACCTTCCTGCTGTGGTTAGTTAGGACTCTTTACTGCATCATTCCTGGCCAYATGAATACCAGAACTGCCAAGGTCTTGGTACCACTCTGGCCCAGACATGACAAAGCCATCTGTGGGCCCTAGAGGGACAGAAAAGCTGGCACCTCCTGCTCCAAATGGGCCATCACAGAGCCCTGGTGGTGCCTGCTCTGCTTCCATTGTGAGAGAGTTTTCCTGAAGCCTGTCACCTTGGCCATGTCACCTGGAACAGAGTGGGGAGGCAGGCTTGGGGTAGAGTTGGGGATGAGAGATTGGCACCTACAGTTGGGTACAAAAAGGTCCCAGACACACACTGGGGAGTCAGGTCACTAGAAAATGCCTGGGGTGGAAAGAGTGTGGCTGGACAACAGGGTCCTATGGTGGGGCCTGTGGGTTCCTGGCCTGGGGGATGGCACCCTGAGTCCACAGGACAAAGGCAGGTAGAAGGATCTTGTCCTTGTGGTTGATCAACTACTGTTTGCTGAGTTGTGCTGGATACTGAGATTCAGTGACAAGGAATCTGTAGTCCCACCCTGGCCCTTTTTTTTTTTTTTTTTGGTATTGGTACTGAACCTAAGATTCTTTACCATTAAGCCACATCCTCAGCCCTTTTTATGTTTTTAATTTTGAGACAGGGTCTTGTTAAGGTGCCAATGATGGTCTTGAACTTATGATTCTCCTAAGCTGCTTCAATTAGAGGCATGTACCACCACCCCCAGCCAGCCCTGGCCCTCTTGATGCTCTTGGTTACATGCTAATTTTCCTGAGTAGGTGACAAGAATTGTTCCAATGCAGAGAGCACCTGCCTTCTAAAATACCCAGATCATTTCCATTTGCAAATGTTCACACTCCCAGGGTCACAGTGAAAATGACCAAGAGGAATTGCTGCTGGGGGTGGCCACATTGCGTCTCAGGAAGGGGATGGTGCCTTGGTGGGATGACTTTGTGCTAATACCTGAGAGGTGGGCCTGAGGTAGGTGGGGGAGAGGCTTGGGATTCCACCATTTGGGGATGACTCCAGGCTAAGAACTTCCAAGGGTGCTCTGGAAAGAACACCATCAGAAGGTAGGCAGGCAGATATTGTCACTTGCTCACATTGGGTTTGGCAGCACTGCTCAGGGGACATTAAAATATAGGTAGCACTCACTCTCATCAGGATCTTTGGGAATTGCCCTAGGCATCTGGGAGTGAATAAGAGATTTAAAAAATTGCCTCAGAGGGGTAAGGTAGAAAGTACCAGGGTTTTAGAGTCAGGAGACCTGGCTTCTTTAATCGGCTGACTTGGGCAAAATGTCTGGTCTTTCGAAGCCTCAGATATTTCCTCTTAGAAATGGGAAGATAAAACTGACCAGCTACAGGGATCAAATAAAACAGACGTGAAAATGTGAGCTAAGGTGTTGCCCACTCATGACTGGGGCTTCCTGGCATCAACCCTCTGCTTCTGCTCCCTTCAACTCTGCTGGGGACAGCAGCTGTTGGCTGAGGGAACAACAGTAAAGTGTCAGAGAGGAAAAGATGAAGCAGAAAGCAAAGTGGAGGTCAGAGACCCGCAGAGGGGGTGTGAGTGGATTTCCAGATGGAGCTGGTTCAGAATGGGCAGGCTGCATGTCAGATGGGGAGACCTGGCCTAGAAAGGTGGCCCTGGGAATGGGCCACTGGGTTGTGGGTCAGAAAAGGGCAAGCCACCTGTAAGGGCACAAAAAGAAGACTTTCAGAGAGCAGAGAGCCGGGAGTGGGTGACGTSCACAGGGCTGGCAGAACAAACTGATGGATATTTGGCACAAAGTCCCAAAGCTGCATTTCTGTTTGGCTCTATTGGCCTGCAGAGCAAACACTGGCAGATTGGAATTCCCACTTGGGCTCTCACCAACTCAAACAAGCTTGGCCAAGGCCTTTGATTGATTTGCTTTGGGCAGAAGTGCTGTGCTCGCCCTGGCCTGGCTATGGGAAGCAGGACCCTCCTCTTCAGCTCCCAGCCCTGGAATCCAGCAATCGGTCCCCAGCTCATCTCCAGACTGCCAGTTGGGGTTTGGAGAGGTGCAAAGGTCTGGGTTTAAGCTCTTGATCTTGCCCAGGCCTTTTCTCAGCTCTTGAGGGAATGATCTGGAATCCAAGACTGGAGGTGTTTGGAGAGTGGGCAGGTTGGTGTGTGTGGCTTTTTTTTTTTTTTTTTTTAGCTGCTTGTTGATCCCATCAGCAGAGAACAGTCTCTATAGTGTGGCAATCCAGGGAGTGACTGAGAATATAAATTCTCCTGTTTATTCCAACAGTCCCTAGAAATCTGTTAAAGAGACACTAGAAACTTCACACCTTGATGTTGTCTTCAAATGTGGGTGAGACAGGATGCCTGCTAGGCCAAACTGGCCTTCAACAAGTCAGGTCTTGCTCTCATTGGGGTCTCCACCTGTTTTAGGCTCTGTCCTGGCCCCAAATGGGCTTGCTCCCTTATTCTTTCTTTCTCTTTCCCCTTCCCTCCCTCTCTTCTTTCTATCCTTCTTTCTTTTGTACTGGGGATTAAACTCAGGGATCTTAACCACTGTGCCAYATCACTAGTCCTTTTTTTTTGTTTGTTTAGAGGCAGGATCTCACTAAGTTGTTTAGGGTCTTCCCAAGTTGCTGGGGCTGGCTTTGAACTTGTGATCCTCCTGCCTTGGCCTCCCAAGCTGCTGGGATTACAGGTGTGCCCCACTGAGCAGGGATCCTGCAGGCTTTTGAAAGAGATGATTTTGAATTCCTAATCAGGATTACCAAAATGAGAGGTTGTTGTGGCTGATTTTAGTCACAAGTTCAGAAAACAGGCCAGGGTGAGTGATAAATATGATGAAGCAGGATTTATCAAAACATGAATGTCATCGCTCTTTCCTGCAGAGAATTTTCTCTTTGCCTGCTCGGGCTTGGGCCACCCTTCTGCAAACTCTGTCTCACAAGACTGGGGTGGAAGGAAAATGGGTTGTTCTTGCTTCCTTGGCTAGCTCCTGGGTTCTCCTCCATGGTGGAGAATCAGGATAGCCAGCCCAGCAGAAAGGAATCTGATTGACCACCAGGCCTGATGAATGTGCCCGGTGAGAAGCTGGGACAGTGGARGGGAAAAGGAGGCAAAAGCTGAGGGATCAGAGTCTGGGAACTTTGACACAACTGGCATGAGAGACCCAGAGGAGAAAGGGGGTCCTTCAGTGTCCTTTTAGGCTAAGAATTGGGCTCCTGTTGATATTCTCTGCGAGAGGCAAGTAATGATTGGAATTAAAAATTACTTTTAGTTGTCATACATTTAAAAAATGGAATCCCACGAATAAGAGAGTAGATCATATGGAGTCTGGATTATATTTGGTTTATATACAAGATCTCCCTGAGGGCTGGAGCAAGAGCTCAGTGGTAGAGCACTTGGTGAGCATGCTCGAGGCCCTGGGTTTCATCCCCAGCTCTAGGGTCGGGGGTTGGGTGGGGGGGGGAGCCCTTTTATAACAGAGCTCTCTGAGGCTAACACTGGGAAATGTTAAGAGGGTTTTACAGGGCTGGGGATGTGGCTCAAGCCGTAGCAAGCTCGCCTGGCATGCGTGTGGCCCGGGTTCCATCCTCAGCACCACATACCAACAAAGATGTTGTATCCGCCGAGAACTAAAAAATAAATATTAAAAAAGAGGGTTTTATAAACCATGGACTGAGCCCCTGCACCAGTGTCCTCTAAAAAGTATCTAGAAGAGAGTGGAACTGGCTTCTTGCAAAGTGAAATTGAAGTCTCAAAAGGAGAGTGKGGAAGAGGCCAGCGGGGGACGAGAGAGCTAAAAGTGCTAAAACTCTGAGAAATTTGGGATTGACTGCAGCCTGGGTAGACTTCTGACAGGACCGTGAGGTTCTCACAGCAGAGGTGGCTGCTAACCCCCAGGCYGGCATCCTGAGAAGGCCACTGCTCCTGGCTCCCTCCCTCCCCAGGGAAACTTCGATGCCTGGGATTGGGGCAAAAGATAAAAGATCTCTCAAAACTTGATGCTGGAAGAACTCAAACGGAGGTCAGGCTAGGACTCTAAAGGTATAGCCTCTTAATTTTTTTTTTTTTCGTGTAGTGTTAGGCATTAAACTCGGGGCTTGCATATGCTAGGCAGGGGCTCTACAGCTGATCTATACCCCCAACCCCTTTTAAAATTTTTATTTTGAGAAAGGGTCTCACTAAGTTGCYCAGTTGGGCTTGAACTTTCGATCCTCCTGCTTCAGCCTCCAAGTAGTTGGGATTACAGGYGTGCACCACCATGCCTGGTTCTGTTCTCTGCATTGACTGTGGAAATACTACCTTTTGATTTGCCAGCATTTCTGTTTATCAGATAAATTCACACATGGGATTTCAATCGCATAACAACACTTAGGTATTTATTGCCCTTATTCTCAGTAAAGAGGTGGCAAAACAGAGGTT